GAAAAACACAACGGATTAGTAAGGCAAAGGACAAAAACATAAAAACAGAAAGCCGAAGAAATAATTACCATCGGCCTCAGCAGGGATGCCCAAATCCGGGCCGTCGGCCTCTTCAAATGTGGTGGTCATCCTCGGCCAGAGTTGGAGGTCATCCTCCTTATCTCCATACAGGTGGTATCTGAAGAAGCCGAGGGCGGTCATCTTGTATTCAGTAACGTAATCCTTCACGCTCCTCGGCCCCCCTTCCAGGAAAGCCTCCACCTGAGCATCCAAGATAGAGCTCTTCGGCGGGTCATGGAGATTGAACCTCCCGGTATGGCCGAGAGAGGGGAACTCGGTGCCACTCTCACCAATGGACACAAACACGAACTTGCTCTTCCACCCATGAATGGACGTAGGCAAATCCGTGAAGCTCCTCTTCTTCGGCAGCTGTTGAAGAGTAGCATAGGCCGCACAGTTCTTGTGGCTTCCTCGGCCGATCTGGTACAAATTCATGAATAAGGCCGTTGTCGACCTGTAGCCCAGCTCCTCACACCGAAGTAAAAAGCCCACCATCAAGGAATAACTGTTCGGCGTCAGCAAGGCCGGAGGAAGCCCCACCATGTCCAGATACTCAATGATGAAAGAGTGAAGGGGGAACCTCAACCCCTTAGCAAAACTCATCGGGTATACTCCAAAGTATCCCGGTGGCGGAAGTAGAACATGGTCCGTCGGCCTGGGTGCCCTAACCCGCCCGAACGGCCCCACGTACATCTGGGCGACAAGATAGTCGGCCGCACTGCTCTCCGGCTTGATCAGGAATATGTTGGTGAGGTCCAGATAGGAGAGGCCCGGCCCATTCTTCGGCCTCCTCACCCTCTTCGGCTTAGCTGCTCCCTTCACGGCAGACACCGGCCTCGGGCACGGAATGACAGCAGAAGTGGACGCCCCGTCCACCACTCGGGACGCACCTACGTCCTCACCCTTTGAAGAGGAGGCGGACTCCTCGTCCTCGCCTTCCTCGTCCACCGGCTCTCCGGATTTGTAGGGACTTAAACGCTCTATCTCCTCTTCAAACTCCTCGAGCACCTCGTAGTCAAGCGACCTCGTGGAGGGCTGGTCGTCGTAGGGGTAGTAGTCTTCATTCAAGCTCTTCATAACTACTACTACGGGCCTAAGGAGACTAACTTAAGATCTAAGGGTGTTCAAACGCCTAACACTAGATCAACAACCTAGGAAGCAAAGTATGAAAAGTGAGGAAGATCGCGATGAACACTAACCTTGAACAACGAAGAACACGAAGAATAGGCTTGGGAGTTTATCTCTCTAGAAAATCGGCCAGCACTTCGACAAATTCAGAATGCAAATACGTTTTCTCGTCGGAGGGGGAGGGGTATTTATAGAACCCCCCACCCAACGGTCACTACACGTGGCACCCCCCCAATGGCCACACTAACGGCCACCAATGGGGGGCCACCACGTCACCACGGGCCATACTCAATATCAACAGCCCACTGGCAGGACGGACTCTACGGCCTACACACGCTCACTGGCTTTACAAAATGTCAGCAAGCGCCCACAACGTCCCACTTGCTCGCCAAGATCACAACTGCCAAACAATAAGGAGACGACAACGGCCAGGAACGTAACGGCCACAAGATCACAGGACCCAAGAGCCCACAAGCCATCGGCTCCTCGTCATGATCTTTGATGATAACTCTCTACAAGCGATCTGCGCACAAGGGTTCTCCCACAGGGTTACCTTGGCCAGAAAATCGCCATGAGAGTTGGATTCAGGGGGACTACCGGGAGGCCGCTTCGGCCAGGGACTCAAGCAACTCCTTCACCCCTCACACTCCTCGGCCTGAAGCAGTGGGGGACTGGGGGACTACACTGGCCTCAACAAAACGAAAGAAGATGCAAACAAGGTAACCACAGAGCATGGCCACATCGGCCACGCATCACACTGCACCTCGTCGACTGAAGGCACACAACGTCATCTGCAACGGCCAACGGGCCACCAAAGGCAAGGACACTCATCGTCCTCCGCCATCACTTAATCACGAGGGGCCCTTCGGCCAGAAACATGAAAGCTAATCAACGACGGCCAAAAGGAGTGCGCAAACACCCTCATCGGCCATCCAAAGGGAAAGACGCCATCGTCCTCGAAGCAAGGACCAACTTCAGTGGCCTCATCGGCCCAAACACAAACTTCAACCATCAGCGCCCAAGCAAAACATGCCTTCAACGGCCACCATTGAAAGAAGGGCACTCATCGTCCCAAAACGAAGACATCAAGTAAACAACGGCCTCCCTGTCCACAACGAGGAACAGGTAACGGCCAAGGGCAACAAAGCACAGGAATCTACTCTCCTTCACTTCGTCTACGTCTCAGCTTAGAGAGAGGGGGACTCCTGATGGAGTATATGGGTCTGAGCCCCCGGACCCACATACTCGGAAGAACAGAAGGCACAAGACAACGGAGTTGCGCCCTCGTCGGCCAAGACGCCCCCGTCGGCCGAAAAGAGGCCAACTCAGATTATGCTCCTGAGTCCAAGGAACCCGGGTGCCCTCGTCGGCCGTGCCCTCGTCGGCCGTGCCCTCGTCGGCCAAGAAGACCTCCCAGAATCGGATTTTACACTTACTCATTTGTACAGCCAATTAGTGGCTTTGTATTCGGCCCAGTAGCGGTCCAGTTGTAAATGGGCCTCCCAAGCCCAAGGCTTGGGAGCCCAACCCTAATTTTCTCTATAAATACTCCCCTTGGGAGTAGTTATAGGGGTTACAAAATCATTCTATTGAAGCATATTATTGCACTTCTCTCTCTAGCTCTCACTTCTCTCTAGAGATATACTCTATCAGTGCACATGTGGCATGAGAGGGATAGACATAAAAGATTGATTTTACGACATTTCTCTCACCGTCTTTCCACGGTCTTATGTGTTTTTGGTAAGCTTTTCCCTGCAATGTCAACCACAATGTCTACATCTAGACATTGTGCTTGACATTGTGAAGAAAAACTTACCAAAATGATATAAGATTCTTTAAATAAGGAGAGATATTTTATTTATTGTTTTTTCATTGGCTATCTCTCATGCCACGTATGCAACGTTAAAGTTTTAGCATTGAAGATGCTCTAATATAAACTGATTTTTTTAATATACTTGTGAATTTTTAATACATTTTGTACAAATTGTGATTATTTAACACAATAATTTTATTATCCTTCTCTAAGAGCATCTCCAATGCTATAATGTGCACGGTGCACATGTGGCATGAGAGAGATAGACACAAAATATTGATTTTATGACACTTCTCTCTCATTCTTTCCACGGTCTTATGTGTTTTTGGTAATTTTTTGTCTTCAATGTCAACTACAACGTCTACATCTATACATTGTGCTTTGTGAAGAAAAACTTACCAAAATAATGTAAGATCTTTCAAATAAGGAGAGAGATATTCTGTTTATAGTTTTTTTTAATTGGTTATTTCTCATGCCACTTATACACCGTTAACGTTTTAGCATCGGAGATACTCTTAATTATGAATGTAATACTGAACAAATTCGAACGTCATGTGAATTTGTTTTCTAACAAAGTGTTTACACACGTCATTTGTAAACAAATTACAAATTTATTTAAATATGATATCATAATGTTTTTGTCCGTTTAATGTTATGCTATTTACAATAGACTTAATAATTTTTCTTCTTCATGTAATTAGTCAGTAACATGCGTGAGATAACATCTAAGGTAAGTTCGCCCCGCTAAAAAAAATTCTGGATACATGCCTACAAAGTAGCAATGGGCGTAAGAATCTAGGCATAGGCCCAACTTTCTAACGCACCCATAAGAATTAAGCAGTGGTATATCATTTTCTTTAAAATACCACGTACTCCATAGTTTGACTTTAAAAGGTTAACCCAAAGCAGTAGTCCATATTTTGTAGTGTGACACTTCAATACCTCTTCTCAGACACTTGGTCTGGGTAGACACTTGGTCTGGGTCTTGTTATTTATTTTTTCATCATGCCATCAGTGTTATTTTTTTTACAATTATTGTCATGTTTCACAGGGACCCACACCAAATGGTAAGACTTGAAATTTCATCATAAATGGTAAATCTAATAGGAGGAGGAGTTCAGATCTCAATATAATACTTTATTATTTTACAATTTTCCGATGTAAGACTTAAACATACTTCTTCCGCCCTATAAAATTTCACTAAACCAAATTTTCTTGATCAATGATATTTCGTAATAAACCTTGAACAGTGACTCCAACTATTATTAGGTGTAGTGATTTCCGTTTAAATGAAAATGTAGAAAATAGAATGAATTAAGAAAATGATAAGAGTAATAAAAGTTGGGGTATAAAGATATTTTAATTAAAAAAACTTACCAAAAAAGGAAAGAGAGAAAAAATAAACAACCCCCCAAAAAGGAATATAGAACGATTAATAGAGAACAAAAGAAGTACAAAGTATTTGTTAATGATCAAACTTGCTCTTTAATAAATAAAATTATTCGTTATATAGATATATTTAATAAAATCACTTGCTCTTTACAAAATTATTAAATAGCACTTTTTGACTAGTTTCAAAGAGAGAAAATTAGGGAGTATATAAACAAAAATGCTGGGTGTAAACTTTTTGGATTTGGAGGAGGAGAAGAAGGTTACTACGATGAATATGATGCTTATATTAGTTATATGTTTTGTTGAAAACAAATGTTTAACAGAAATGGTGGGTGTAAACTTTTTGTGTACACCATTGACACAATCTGTTTGATTATACATACAGAATTGTCTGTATGCAGATAATTCATATTTAAATACACAAATTGATTATGTACATACAAATCCGTTTGTGTAGATAAATAAAATGTGCTAGAGTATATACAAATGAGTGCTAGGTAAGCGGAAACCGGGATTAAAGAGTTTTAAATATGTCATTATGTCTCATATAGTCCTTTTTTAAAAGTAAACGTATGTTAGTGATACTTTTATGATTAGATGTTGTTATATAAGGATTTGGGAAAAGTAGAAAAGACCTTCTTCCACCAAAAAAATTACTTTCCCATTTCGTCTCTTGTCTGCTATTTTGGTCTTCCTCTTATCAATACTGAATGAAGCTGAGCTTTGATTTTCTGATGTTAACTGGCGTCAAGAAGCCTTGAAACGTCTGACTGTGCCACAAGAGCAAGACTTCTATTTTAAGTTGAAATATAATCAGTCTTATTTACAAGCTTCTCAATTGTAGTTGCTAGAAACTGAACAGCCACGTTCACCTGAATAGTTCAGGTGGTCGGAGATTCAAGGAAGCTTCATTCTGTTCTTCACATTGTCTTTTACTTTCGCCAATTACGTATTTTTCACATTGTCTTCATTGGCTTTCTCTGTTCGTTTTTACAGGAAGCAGTTTGTGAGTGAATGGTTATGGTTACTTCTCTTGCGATTGAAGACGAACTGAGAAATCGGAATCTGCCTTACACCGAACGGTAAATTCTCCATATTTTGATCTTTTGGTCATTTTTCAACTCATAAAAAAAGTAGTCCGGCAGTTTGAATAGCGCACGCATCCGAGTTCAAATTCTCTGCGTGTCGTCCTACCTTAGCTTACAGTGTGGACTCGAGGGTCCGTTGAGTTCAACGTTGCGGGTATACCCCTGAATCCCTGATCCGGTTTACCAACTAATCCAAGAACACAACAGTTGCGTGCCAGCTCCATTGCGTACAGTCTGGAGATCGTACAGTGTGAGAAATTGCTGAAATGGGGAATTTGTTTCATATATTTCTACTTCTGATCCCCGTTTTTATAAGGGTGGCTGCAGCAAACCGTAATCCCATGATTGCCTTATCTACCCAACCCGAACTGAAGACATCGACCAAATCCGCATCCGACGGGAATCTTAATTACCGGCCGGTCATCGGAATCGTCAGTCATCCCGGAGACGGAGCTAATGGCCGCCTCAGTAATGCTACCAACGTTTCCTACATTGCTGCTTCTTACGTCAAGTTCGTTGAGTGTGCTGGTGCTAGAGTCATTCCTCTTATTTATAACGAGCCCTCCCATATTCTCATACAAGTAAGGCTCCTAATGCTTCAGTCTCTGCAAATTTTGGGGCTTTTCCTCTGTCAAATAATAATTAATTTACAGAAACTCAATTTAGTTAATGGTGTACTGTTCACTGGAGGATCTTCCAAGAAGGGACCGTACTTTGAGGTTGTCAAGGGAATTTTCCAGGTAATTAATCTTTAAAAAATGAAGTGATTGCTAAACATGTACTCCATATCAATTTTAATTAGCTAGCAACTACAAGTTTCCAGGACAGAGGTTTCTAGCTTTTCATTTTCAACACCCACTCTAAGCAACATCAAAATAATCAAATTAATTTTATAATAAATCCTACGGCTATGAGATTCTTCTCAATTATCATATATTTATAATGCGTTAACTTAGGTTTGAATTCAAAGCCATAATAAAAATTATGAAATGTGATGATACTGACTTAAAATAGAGAATGCAGCTATGCTTGCTTCCCGTTTACTCCATATGTTTCATGGTTTATGGTTATACATGTCACGTGTGTGTGTGTGTGTGTGTGTGTGTGTGTTTCTTACTGTCCCTCCCATTGGGCATAACAAAAAGTGGGTTTTGTCAAGGATGGTATAACCATATATGCATAACTGTTATCCATCATCTGGAGTATTATTGTTGTTGTTGCTTTTATAATAATAATAATATCATCTTCTTCTTCTTGGAAAATTGTTAGATACTGAATTTGTAGCCCCTTTCTTTTTCTTGCAGAATGTCTTAGAGAAGAATGATGCAGGAGATTATTTCCCTCTTCTTGCTATCTGTTTAGGTTTTGAACTTTTAACAATGATTATCACAAAGGTATCTCTATACGTGTGTTATACCTACTTTTAATAGATGCTTCATTTGTTCTCTAAAGCAAGTTTATTGATGGTTCACTCACTTCACTGTAAAAAGTTTTTTTTTCAAATCTTTTTTTTCTAGCATAGAGGTTGCACTGTAGAAAGAAACAAACCTCATATCACAAGGAAAGTATAGTATAACTAGGACATTCTAGAATGCATAGATATGCTTGATTGCAAGCTAGACTAATTGGCTCTTTAGTTGAACTCAATTACTACTTTATTCAAGAAAAAGTTAGTCTTGAAGAGATCACTGCCTCATTTGTTGGTTCTGAAGAATGAGTGGTGGTCTGGTGGATATATTAAGTATTATCCATGTCAACAAGTGAGCCTCAGATTGAATGGATGTGTGGCAAGCTTGGAGCTATTGACCTTCCTGCTCCAATTTGATGGGCAGTATATAAGAAATCTCACCCCGTCCCTGACGGTCTCCAAAACCTGCATGACAGCTTGCTTTAGCGGAGCTCTAATCGCAATATGATTAATAGAGAGTGGGATCTTCACCTGATACTTAGAGGAACTCCTTGCTGAGCATGATTGCCCCTCACGTAGTTGTCCAGAGAGAGGGTAAGTGTTGAGAAATATAAGAATTGGGTGCGTTATACAAAAGGGGCATTGGTGCACTCGAGGTTGGGTGATATGTTTTAGATATCAGAGTTTAGGTCATAGTTTATGTGTATATTTCTTCTGTTTTATTTCTTTCCTTAAATAGAACACTTAAAGATTGCGTGTAAGTAGAACACCATATATTGTCCTATCCCCTAATCAGATCTGTTGTATTTATTACTTGAGAATTTTAAGACCCCCATTTTTTACAATTCGCTCCAGGACAATAACATTCTTGAGTTGTTTAATGCAACTAACCAAGCATCTAAACTACAATTCTTGGAGGGTGCCAGTTTTGAAGGAACCCTCTTTCAGAGGTATATGTCTGCTATAACTAATTAGTACTCCGTATTTGTTCATAGGAACTATTTAGAAGACAGATCAACACGTTACGAGTACTTAATGTTCGTAATGGAGGAGCTATTTTGCTGCTTGATGGAGTGACTGTCTGAAATATGTTATACCTTTTACAGGTTCCCTTCTGAGTTGCTAAAAAAGTTGAGTGAGGATCGCCTTGCCATGCAACATCATCGCGTGAGTTCCCCAGAACCAGATTGTATTTCCCTTTGTTTTTCTATGATAAATAGTTATAATATGGATTTACTGATTTACGCAAAAGCAGACTTTTCTGGTATATTCTTAGCAAGCAGACTGTTCTTATTCTTTCTTTGTGAAACAGTATGGCATTTCACCAGAAACATTTCGAGCAAATGCAGACTTGTGTAACTTTTTCAGGATGTTGACAACATGTGCTGATAAAGATAATAAGGTAAGCAAATAACATACTACATCAGATATGACAATTTCTACTCCTGCATTCCCTTCAATGGGTTGATTCTAAAATCTATGAGTTATAATAATGTGTCAGGTCTATGTCTCTACAGTTCAAGCAAAGAGCTACCCTGTAACCGCGGTACAGTGGCACCCAGAGGTTCGTCTTAGTGAAAATACATAACTATCCTGTAAAATATTTTATATGTTTTAAATTAATAAACTTGCTGTGACAAAGGTTAAAATTGTGCCTTTTATGATCTAGAAAAATGCTTTTGAATGGGGCTTATCTCAGATTCCACACACAGAAGATGCAATTCAAGTGACTCAACATGTTGCCAACTACTTTGTTAGGTAGGGTTATTTCCTACAATCCATTATCACTGTAGGTATTGCAATATATTAGCTCAAGTTTTGTCATTATTTTTTACTGAAGGAATGGGAATATATTAGCTCAGGTTCTAAATATAAGATTTTGCAAATTAACACAAGATGTTGTGTTTCACAGCAAGACACTGCCCTCTTCTTGGATATTTCTTGGACTAAGACCAAAACTAAGATCATTTTTAGATTTCTGTCAGTTATCTGTGGCAGATGGAGATTAGACGATTCACTGAAGCAGCAGAGTTAGAAAAGGTTTTTGTAATTATAAAACAGAGAACTACCTAAAAAAGGGGAAAACTAGAGAAAACCTATGCTGAGTACAGGATGGAGTTCCTATGAAGTTTTTTCCAGGTCTCTCCAGGATTTGATAGATCCAGGCTATACCACCTTTCAGTATCATTCTAGAATATTTTTCATAAATGAATTTCTTGTTTTGTAATTTTATTCATTGTGTTTTTGAGTGAAGCCTCAAACTCTTTTGGGACTAAAATTTGGATGTTATTGTATGTTTTTCAGTGAAGCAAGGAAGTCTTTAAACAGACCAGATGCTCAAAGAGTGCTTGACAACCTTATATACAACTACAGTCCTTCTTATAGTGGGAAGGCGGGGTAAGTAAGTTATCAGTCTGCTTTCGTAGTGTGGCACTTATTTTGGGTATTTATGTCTTTCTTTGTCCTACAGGAGAGGTTATGATGAGGTTTACATCTTCACTCAACAATCGGGCCTAAGTTCTTTTCAGATGTAAATACTTTGTAATATGAATCTAATCGATTATATAACAACGGAGTACATAAGAGCTCTCTGTGTTTATGTGTAAGGCATCAGATCTGTACAGCTTCTACATAATAAAAATTTCGATGTTTCAATGGAAAAATGGAAAGTGTGAAGTAGCACCTATAGAAGATAAGATGCGGGAGTCTCGTTTGCGGTGATTTGGTCATATGCGTAGATGACCAAGTGATGCACCTATTAGACGACTTGAAAGGCGGGGAGAAGAGGCGGAGAGGGGAGGGATGGGAACACCCAAACAAACTTAAATTAGAAGAATCGGAACTGATATGCATCTTCTTAGGTTGGACGAGAGTATGACTTTGAAGAGAACAAAGTGGAAGGCGCACATTCATGTGGACCATTGATCTTTTTTCTATCTTTCCTCTCTTTTTCTTTTATCGTTTATCTTCCTTATCTTTTTATATTCTTATGTTATTTTTATCTTCTAGCTTTTTTATGCCCTTTTATCTTTTTGTCTTTTATCTTCCCTATGTTCTTATGTTATTGTTATTTTATACTCCGCATTTATATTTAGCTAATTTGTTTTATCTTACTCAATCATTATTATTTTTTCTTTTTTTCTTCTTTTTGTCTTCTTCTCTTTTTTGCACTGATATCATGATTCGAATCATGTTAGCTTACCCAAAATCTTTTGGGATTAAGGTTTGGATGTTGTTTTAATGGAAAGTGTGTTCTTTCTCCCTTCGTTTCCACTTGTTCTTTTTCCACTCTATCTGCTTCAAACTTTACATCTTTGCTTGTCTTTATGTGTTGTTTTGTCATTTCTGTCTGACTTTTGAATCTTGCTCGTGCATGCTGTGGAACTAATGTTGGTTCTCTCGTCAATTTGTGATCAATTTAAGTGTTTTATGTCTCTTCTTATGTAAACTCAAATAAATCTGTGTAATTTTACAATTGAGTAAAAGATTTACTTACCCTCTGCATGCATATCATTAGTTTTCATTTTGCGAAATGAGTAACATATATGTGGCTTGTTCTTTTAAAATGGTATGGTTCCGGAGTATATTCTCATATACCTCAGGGGTATCACTATCCATGAACAAAGAAGTCTCCAGAAACACTAATCACTATCCTCCGATGTCGACCTCGACCCACGTGATGTTGGCCTGACATTCGACTATTCGAGTCCCAGATCATCAAGATCAAACCGAAATTGAGGCCGGTACCAGATTCGACGTCACACATGTGTTTGAGGCCAACGAGCGGTCCACGAAATTCAACGGGGTGAAGGAATCAAACAGCAGACCAAGGTCGGTTCCTCCGTAATAAACACATTATACTTGGGCTTAGGGATGGACCCGAGCCGGTCCGGTTTAAGTTCCGGGCCGGGCCCGGGTGGTTTTTTTTTTTTGCATTTACTTGGGCCTGGAACCGGCCTGGGTTGATATCGGGTTCGGGTCGGGCCGGGCTCGGTTCAATGTTTAATTTTTTTTGCTTTCTTGTTATCCCCCGACCCCAAACCTCCCCAAAACACCCAGTCCTACTCTAGGAAAAGAAAAAAACTTGACAAAAAATTGATCCGGGTCCGGCCCGAACCGCATGGGCCGGTTCGCCCAAACCCGAGCCAACCAACCGGGCCCGATCCGGGCTGGGTCCGCACAGTAGCGGGCCGGTTCGGGCCGGTTGGGTCCATCCCTACCTGGGCTGGGCTTGACCTGCTGAGCTCGGGGCCTCGTTAATCAATTATGGACTTAGACATTTCAGCAATCAAGTCAGGAGCACGACAGCCGTACAAGGGCCACATCACCTTGGTAGTTACTATGCGGAATATTCCAGATAGCACACGTGTGACGCATACATGCGCTCTGGTACACAAAGGACAATTTTGGTATGCACAATACCAATCAACCAGTTGTCAAGATATCTCTCCAATCAATATTAAACGTGTTGCCACATTATTAGACTAGTACATTTATTCTTGTCAGTCAAGTTATACATGTGTCCCCACCACAATAAAATAACATATTTTTACTTGTTGACCAAGTATTTTGTCCTCAATATAAATGTCACCTTCCAACATGTGGAAAGGGATGAGATTTTCTATGTGCAAACTTGTTGTTATTCTGCTCAATTTCTTAATCGATCTTAACACTTTCGGTCTCTCTAATTTCCCGGATTTCGGTCACCCCCAGGGTCGAATATCCATCAGGTTCATTTTCACTCGGATATTTTATGTCTTGGTAACTATTTTTGTGTTCAACAAATTCTAATTTTATCTATTATTGTTTATGCGAGACTTATTATCCATCATTTTTAATGGAGCCAAATGTTCACTCTCTTTGCTTGGGAATATCATGGAATAAAGCAAAATTGCTCATTAAACTGTCTCTGCTTATTTGTTATGAAGCAGCAATCAGTCAATGCAATTTTTTACGCAATTTTCATCACGGGTCTTTTGAAAATAGTCTTTCTGTGTTTTAGAACATGGGAAAGACCGCACACATCCGACCCCTCATTAACTCACCGTAGACATCATAATTTTGTATAGTTTTTTGTATAGGTTTTTGCACAGGGGTAGGGTTGCGCACTGGGGTAGTGTTGTTATTATTGTTGTTGTATAGTTTATGCAAGACTTAAACTATTTAGTTTTTTCAAAGATATATATCTCAACAGTGGTGGCATAAGTTCAGACGGTGGCTTGTTGAGCCAGATAGTGTCAAAGGTGAATGTGTGTATTACGATGTCTATAACTATTGTGGGAAACCTATTAAATAATGATTTTAGATGGGGTGAGGTGGAAGTCTCGTCTTGGTAGTCATGGATTTCTTTTTACATTCATTGTCATGAAGTTTCTCTTACATTCTCCCATGGTGTCTGCTCAAAACATGCTGAATCACCACCATTTTTGCACTCTATGGAGCAACAACTCAGATATAAGTAGGAGCGAGGTTTCCACGTTCAATTGAAGCAGAAGTGTGACTTGAAAGTTAACTTGTGATAGATTATATCTCCTGAATTCTAGAGAGAAGTGAGAGCTAGAGAGAGAAATGCAATATATGCTTCAATAGAATGATTTTGTAACCCCAATAACTACTCCCAAGGGGAGTATTTATAGAGAAAATTAGGGTTGGGCTCCCAAGCCTTGGGCTTGGGAGGCCCATTTACAACTGGACCGCTACTGGGCCGAATACAAAGCCTCTAATGGGCTGTACAAATGAGTAAGTATAAAATCCGATTCTGTGAGGTCTTCGTGGCCGACGAGGGCGTGGCCGACGAGGGCACCCGGGTTCCTTGGACTCAGGACCATAATCCGAGTTGGCACCTTCTCGGCCGACGGGGGCGTCCAGGCCGACGAGGGCTCCACTCTGTGCCTTGTGCTTTCTGTTCTTCCGAGTATGTGGGTCCGGGGGCTCAGACCCATATACTCCATCAGGAGTCCCCCACTCTCTAAGCTGAGACGTAGACGAAGTGAAGGAGAGTAGATTTCTGTGCATTTCCAGGCCGTTAGTCGTTGCGGCGTTGGCGTTGTTTCCTCTTTGGTGATCCTGTTCTCTTTGGCCGTTACCTGTTCCTCGCTGTGGGCGGGGAGGCCATTGTTTCCTTAATTTGTTTTAGGACGATGAGTGTCCTTCTTTCAATGGTGGCCGTAGAAGGCGTGCTTTCCCTTTCCTGTACGTTGGTGGTTGAAGTTTATGTTCGGGCCGGTGAAGCCGTTGAGGTTGTTCCTTGCTTTGAGGACGATGGCCTCATCTCCTTTGTGTGGCCGATGAGGGTGTTTGCGCACTCCTTTTGGCCGTTGCTGGTTGCCTTCGTGTTTTTGGCCGAAGAGCCCGTCAAGATTAATTGTTGGCGGAGGACGATGAGTGTCCTTGCCTCTAGTGGCTTGTTGGCCGATGAAGTTCCGTTGTGCTGTATGGATGATGTGGCCATGTTTTGTGGTTAACTTGTTCGCGCTTTTTTGTTTTGTTGAGGCCGGTGTAGTCCCCCAGTCCCCCACTGCTTCAGGCCGAAGAGTGTGAGGGGTGAAGGAGTTGTCTGAGTCCCTGGCCGAAGCGGTCTCGCCGTAGTCCCCCTGAATCCAACTCTCATGGCGATTTTCTGGCCAAGGTAACCCTGTGGGAGAACCCTTGTGCGCAGATCGCTTGTAGAGAGTTATCATCAAGGGTTATTACGAGGAGCCGAAGGCTGTGGGCTATTTGTCCCCTTTGTTCTGTGGCCGTTACGTTCCTGGCCGTTTCCATCCGTTTATTGTTTGGCGTTTGTGATTTTGGTGAGCAAGTGGGACGTTGTGGGCGCTTGCTGGCAGTTGTGAAGCCGCTGGGCGTGTGTAGGCCGTTGATATGGGTTGGTCCTGGCCCGTTGGTGACGTGGTGGCCCCCCAGTGGTGGCCGTTGATGTGGCCATTGGGGGAGTGCCACGTGTAGTGACCGTTGGTGGGGGGGTCTATAAATACCCCTTCCCCTCCGACGAAGAATCATATTTGCATTCTGAATTTGTCGAAGTGCTGGCCGATTTTCTAGAGAGAGAAACTCCCAAGCCTGTTCTTCGTGTTCTTCGTTGTTTGAGGTTAGTGTTCATCACGATCTTCCTCACTTTTCATATTTTGCTCCGTAAGTAGTTGGTCTAGTGTTAGGCGTTTAAACACCTTTAGATCGTAAGTTCTCCTTAAGCCCGTAGTAGTAGTAATGAAGAGCTTGAACGACGACTACTACCCCTACGACGACCAGCCCTCCACGAGGTCGCTTGACTATGAGGTGCTCGAGGAGTTTGAGGAGGAGATAGAGCGTTTAAGTCCATACAAATCCGCGGAGCTGATGGACGAGGAAGGTGAGGACGAGGAGTCTGCCTCCTCTTCAAAGGGTGAGGACGTAGGTGCGTCCCGGGTGGTGGACGGGGCGTCCACTTCTGCTGTCATTCCATGCCCGAGGCCGGTGTCCGCCGTTAAGGGAGCCGCCAAGCCGAAGAGAGTAAGGAGGCCGAAGAGTGGGCCCGGCGTCTCCTACTTGGATCTCACCAATATCTACCTGATAAAGCCGGAGAGCAGTGCGGCCGACTATCTGGTTGCCCAGATGTACGTGGGGCCGTTCGGGCGGGTTAGGGCGCCCAAGCCGACGGACCATGTTCTTCTTCCACCACCGGG